AGAAATAAATAAAATTGAAATCAGAAAAAGAATATAAAGTATCAATGAATCATGAAGTTGGTTTTTTGAAAAGATAAATGAAATTGATACACTTTTAGCCAGCTAACTAAGAAAAAAAGTGAGAAGACCCAAATAAATAAAATCAGAGACATTACTACCGATACTACAGAAATTCAAAGGATCATTAGAGTCTACTATAAGCAACTATATGTCAATCAATTGGAAAACCTAGAAGAAATGGACAAATTTCTAGACACATACAACCTACCAAGATTGAATCAGGAAGAAATCAAAAACCCAAATAAACAAATAACAAGTAACAAGATAGAAGCAGTAATAAAAAGTCTCCCATCAAAGGAAAACACAGGACCTGATGGTTTCATTGTTGAATTCTGCTAAGCATTAAAGAAGAACTAATAATAACAATCCTGCTTAAACTATTCCAAAAAATCAAAGAGGAGGGAATACTCTCAAACTCAAATTCTGTGAGGCCTGTATCACCCTGATATCAAAAGCAGACAAAGACACAACAAAGAAAGAAAACTATAGGTCAATATCTTTGATGATCATAGATGTAAAAATTCTCAAAAAAATACTAGTAAACCAAATTCAACAACACATTAAAAAGATTATTCATCATGATCAAGTGGGATTTAACCCAGGGATGTAAGGATGGGTCAATGTATGCAAATCAATTAATGTGATACACCATATCAGCAGAACAAAGAGCAAAAACGTTATGATCATTTCACTTGATGATGAAAAGGTATTCAATAACATTCAACATTCCTCATGATAAAAACTCTCAAAAAACTGGGTATAGAAGGAATTTACCTCAACATGATAAAAGTCATATATGACAGACCCACAGCTAGTATCATACTGAATGGGGAAAAACTGAAAGCCTTTTTTCTAAGATCTGGAACAAGACAAGGAAGCCCACTTTCACCACTGTGAAACATAATGGTGAAACGTAGTACTTGAAATTCTAGCCAGAGCAATTAGACAAGAGAAAGAAATAAAGGGAATACAAATTGGAAAGGAAGAAGTCAAATTATCCTTGTTTGCAGACAATATGATCCTATATCCAGAGAAACCTAAAGACTCCTCACACGCAAAAAACTATTAGAACTGATAAACGAATTTGATAAAGTTGCAGGATACAAAATCAACATACAAAACTCAGTAGCAATTCTATACACCAGCAACAAACAATCAGAAAAGGAATCCAAGAAAGTAATCCCATTTACAATAGCTACAGATAATATAAAATACCTAGGAATAAACATATCCAAAGAAATGAAAGATCTCTGCAATGAAAACTATAAAATATTGATGAAAGAAATTGAAGAGGACACAAAAAAATGGTAAGATATTCCATGCTCATGGATTGGAAGAGTCAATATTGTTAAAATGTCCATACTACCCAAAGCAATCTACAGATTCCATGCAATTCCCATCAAAATACCAGTAACATTCTCCACAGAAATAGAAAATATAATCCTAAAATTTATAGGGAACCACTAAAGACCCAGAGTAGCCAAAGCCACCCTGAGAAACAAGAACGAAACTGGAGGAATCACATTACCTGACTTCAAATTATACTACAGAGCTATAGTAATCCAAACAGCATGGTGTTGGCATAAAAACAGACACATAGACCAATGGAATAGAACAGAGAACCCAGAAATAAATACGCATATCTACAGTGAACTTATTCTCAACAGAGTTGCCAAGAACATACAGTGGGGAAAGGACAATTTCTTCTATTAATACAAATGGTCCTGGGAAAACTGGATATGCATATACAGGAGGATGAAGCTAGACCCTTATATTTCATCATATACAAATATCAAATCAAAATGGATTAAAGACATAAATCTAAGACCCAAAACTATAAAATTATCAAAAGAAAACATTGGGAAATGCTTCAGGACATTTCCAGGACAGGAAATGTCCAGGACAGGACAGGTCTGGGCAAAGATTTCTTGAGTAATACCCCAAAAACACAGACAACCAAAGTAAAACTGTACAAATGGGATTATATCAAGCTAAAAAGCTTTTGCACAGCAAAGGAAATAATCAACCAAGTAAAGAAACAACCCACAGAATGAGAGAAAATATTTGCAAACTACCCATCTGACAAGGGATTAATAGCCAGACTATATAAGGAGCTCCAACACATCAACAGGAAGAAATTAAATAATCCGATTAAGAAATCAGCAAAAGATCTGAATAGACATTTCTCAAAAGAAGACATACAAATGGCCAATATGTCAATGAAAAAATGCTCAACGTCATTGGCAGAATGCAAACCAAACTACAATGAGATATCATCTTACCCTAGTTAAAATGGCTTTTATCAAAAGGACTGACAACAAATGCTGGTGAAGATGTGGAGAAAGGGGAACCCTCATGCACTGTTGGTGGGAATGGAAACTGGTGCAACCACTATGGAGAATAGAATGCTGGTTCCTCAAAAAACTAAAAATATTATAGAACATGACCCAGCAATCCCACTCCTACGTATATATCCAAAAGAAAGAAAATCGGCATATCGAAAATGTTTATTACATGCACTATGCACAATATCCAAGATTTGGAATCAACCTAAGTGTCCATCTATGGATGAATGGATAAAGAAATTGTGGTACATATGCACAATGAAATATCGTGTAGTCACACACACACACACAAAGAAATTCTGTCATTTGCAACAACAGGTATGGAATTGGAGAACATTATGATAAGTGAAATAAGCCAAGTACAGAAAGACAAATTTCACATGTTCTCACTCATATTTTAGAGGTAAATATTAAGAGCAATTGATCTCATGGAGCAGAATGATGGTTAGGAGGCTGGGAAGGGTAGCAGAGAGGAGAGGATAAAGTGGGGCTGATTAATGGGTGTAAAAATATAGTAAAATAGTTAGATAGAACGAACAATATTTGATAGCACAACAAAGTGACTACAGTCAACAATAAGTTAGGGTATACTTCAAAATAACTAAGAGTAGAATTGGAATGTTCCTAACACAAAGCAATGATAAACACCTGAGGTGATGGATACCCCAATTACCCTGATTTGATTAATATAGATTGTATTCTTGTATCAAAACATCGCATGTACCCTATGAATTTATACAATTATGTACTTATATAATTGAACATAAAAAAATTTTTTAAAAATAAAATGCATAAATTCCTCAGGAAGACTGAGGCTGGTGGGAATGTTTACCTTCTACGAGCCTCTTTGCTTTCCTTCTGTCCTGGAACTAGGGCAGCTGCTTCAGGAATTTGTGCTGGGAAATGGATTGAATGAGGTGAATTTGGCCAGTGGACTCAGGAAAAACAGCTATTGCAACACTTGGGGCCGTGGATTGAGAGTGGCTCACCCTGCCCCTTCTCAAAGGAGGGTGGAGGGAGGTGGGAGGGCTTGCTGGTGCTTCCAGCTCTCACTGAACACTCATTTCCTGCCCATAGCTCTGCAGGGAGAAGTAATTTGGGAGCACAAAGGGTTTTCATAAAGGCGGGGATTCAACACTTAGGTGGAGCTTGGTCAAACAGAGTCCAGCATGAAGGCACAGGAAAGGCAGAGTTGGAGCATCAGAAGACAGGAAAGTAATAAAAAGAGAGGTTGAAAGCATCAAAGAAGCTGCTGTTTGTAGTTCTGCCTAAGGCCTGCCAGCAGCTGACCTTGTGTGCCGAGGACAAATGCTGGAGGTTCCAATGCCTTCCCTTAGGCAATTAATCATAGCAGCAGTGGTCCTGGTGGAATTGCGCCCTGAACCAAAGCATAATTGCTCATGTGTGTATCCTCTGCCATTTCAGGGATAGAGCACTTATTTTGCCCTGAATGTTTTTCCTGTTTGGTGTGGGGGATTACATCTTTCCCATTTCATAAGGAAAGGAAACTACTGACTTCTCAAGTGCATCTCTGTCTTACAGAGAAAAATATGCACCAGAATACAGCCTTTGAGAGCAAGTTAACAATAACAACAACAATTATAACCACTGCTCTTTATTGAACATTGCTATGTAGTAAGCACTGTGCGAGACATTTTACATACACTATTTCTAATCCTCCCAAGGGTCCTATTAAGTAAATATAATTATTTCCATTTTATAGATCAAGAAACAGGCTCCAACTAGCCCGAGACCATGCAGCTAGTACCAGCTGCAAGGGACCTCTTGGTGCCTCCTTCCCAGCTCTTACTTGAAAGGTATTTTGGAGCAAGCAGGGAGGGGCAAGTCTCTCCCTGGAGAGTGTGATGACCAGCCTGGACAGGTCCCCAAGACATTTGCCAATTTCATTCACTGCAATCATAGCTGCAGGGTATTGAACAGCCACCACTTTCCATGTATGGGGTATGTTCTTTACAGAGGTGATTTCTAAGTCCTTCCCCTCATTTTTCAAATGATAAAATAAAGCTCAGACAGGTTAAGTTGTCGGTCCGGTGTCACAAGGAGAACAAGTGACAGAGTCAAATTTGCAGCCAAGACTCTCTGACCTCAATCTCCAACTGTTCTGTCCACTCTACTTTGTTGTCTACCCACTTCCAGCATGTGGTCTGGAAAACCCAGGACCTGGTTAGTCCCTGAATTTTGCCTGCTGTGGTTGGAAAGAACCCATTCTGACATTTGATTTTGGTTTTAGAATAATCCTGTTTCTCTGGCGCCCACTGGGAATTTCTACAGGTCTGTTTATCTGTACCACTTCCTCCTTTGGGTATTTGCAAAGGGCATGAGAAGCTGTGTTCCCCAGAGGCCAAGTCTCCCCTAAGAGGCACTGAAGCCCTCCTTGGGCTGCACAGAACAGGCTGAAGGGGGAAGAAGGCAAACATAAGATGTCGACACTTCCTCCTCTCCATCCCCGTGCCTCTTATTCTTATCAGGAACAATCTCAAAACTGAAGTGCGGAGATTGTACCACTGGGCCCCGGGGTGAGGAAAAGAGAAAGCCACGTTAGAGCCAGTTAATATGAAGGAGCTCAGGCCTCACCTTGGTGAACGTGAGATTCACAAATCCACCCCGAAAATTCAAGAGAAGGTTGGATTTTTGGGAGCCACAGTTCCCAGAGGCTTGAGTTGCATTGGGCTCAATGTTGAAGTATCTCTGAGATGGAAAAACCTAAAACAAACAAGATAAATCAGCTCAATGAGATGTAGAAGAAAACTCTAGCTAGGAAACTAGAAGCACAGACTAGTAAGCGAGCCCCAAACATCAGGCTAAGTGTGTGTTCATTTGAGAGCTACAAAGTCGCCGGATGACACCGCTCGTTTCCGCAGTTACGTTCGAAAGCTTTCTTAAAGAGGGAGTTCTCCCTCAGATTGGAGTTCCTTGGTAAATAATTCATGGCAGGTATATTCCTGATGAACTGCGTGGAATTTAAGTTAAACATGTTGAAAGGTACCATAGAGAAGGGTTTGTTCTGTAAGATTTCTCTGTTTCAAATGAAAACCTGAATGTGGAAGTTTTATTTGAAATCGTAATAACTGGGCAAAAAAAGAAAGTATTATTTTATGGGAATTCCTTTTGTAAATCAAATAATCACAACCTCTCTCCCTCGATCTTCTTTTTAATCTGGATTTTCTGTATCAGTGTCAACATTGGCTGGAACCAGAGGGACCATCGGACTTAAATTTCTCATTTCACAGGGAAGGATCTGAGGCTGTCAATCACCTGCAGTGGCAGGGCCAGGCAGGATCAACACTGAACATTCCCAACACTCTGCTCATGTTGGCTAAAAGTGAGGGGTGTGAATATTTAAATTTTTGTTGCGTGCCTTCCTCTCTCCAAACAGTTGCTATTTAGGTTCTATTTTTATATGTATTCTAAACCATATTCATCTTTTAATGGAGCACCTTGGAGAAAGATGAACTCACAGCTTTTTGTTTCATCTAAAGACACAGGATGTGGGGAATGCTTGTTCCTAGCAAGGCAAACTCCACTCAAACTTTTTGAACAGAGTGTTACAGTCCTATGGCCCCAACTTACCGACTCCTTGTCTTGAACAATTAGTTGTATCCCCATCTCTGCTTTTATACAGAGCCTGCTTCCATTTAGAACTTGATAAGTTCCCGTCTTGGCTGATGATGGCTGAGGGGCAAGGGTGGGCCCAGGAGCTGTGGAGGCAGGTGAGGTTGTTTGGGTGGTGTTGTGTGCAGCTGTAGTTGTTCCTGGGGCATAGCTGGATTGAATAAGCTTCTGACTGGTTGTGCTTTTGTGTGGTGCTGTTGACAAAGTCATTGGGAGGGTGGTCGGGTTACTGGGGTGGGTGGTTTGCCCAGTTGTGCAGCAGACAGTTGATGGGCTGGTTCCCGTTGTGTAGGCTGGCGGGGTGCTGGTGGGTGGCTGTGAATGAGGGGCTGAGCTGTTGCCGATGGTAGCTTCAGTAACTGGAGTAGCCGTGTGTGAGTTGGCTGTGGCCTGCGTTGTGATCAAGGTGTGCATAATTGGGCTGGTGGGTGGAGTGTTTCTTGTAGTTACTGGGGTAGTTGGAGTTTTTACTGTGGCAGCTATTTCAGAGGTGATGTGACCATCCGTTGATCTTGCTGCTAAAGTTTCATGAGGCACCTGGTTAGTTTGTTGCAAGAGAGAAGGTTTTGCTGTGGCTGCTGTAGTGGGTTGAAGATAGACTCTGCTTTCTGGAGATGATTTTGCTCTTGCTTGACTGCCATCCTGCAAAATTACTGCAAATTAGAAAACAAAAGTGTTAAAACACTAACCGATTGCTTATGAGGTCCCTCTCCCATTCCCATTTTAATGTTCACTAAAAAAACTATTTTTGGATTTGGGGGACATTTACAAGGATATAATAATGAAGCAAAGATCACCAAAGATTCTACTACTAGGCCACAGTTGCAATGTTTTGGCTGCACCCACGATTTTTACAGGGTTATGACCACACCACAGACATTCTTCTGCACTCAGCCCCTCTGTCTGTATGGGGTGTGGTGATAACACACACCGAAGTGATCGTAATCAGCTAGATAGCTAGGTGTCATTGTCTCTTCATTCTCCACCTTCAAATGTGAAACCAGACAGTTATAATATTCCTGGTTAAACGGAGCTGGGAAAGCATGAATAATGATAATAAAAATTTACACAATTTTATAATTTTCATAGAATCATATAATCCCAGGTTTAAAAAAGGTCTCGAAGGTCATGTAGTCCAAACTCTAATCTGATACGTGAATTGTACTTCCAGATCTTTGCCATGTGTTTATCCAGTCTATGCTTAATTGCCCCCAAGGATGAGAGACTCCTTTCCTCACTATTCAGGCCTTTCCATTTTTTATCTTGCCATTCATTATTTTTCTAAATTTAGCCAATTCCTATCATTTCCTTACTCCATCTTTTGAGTGGCCCAGTCTTTCTCAACCAAGAAAGAAAATTAAGCAGAAATTGCTCTGTTATTTCAGGTGGGCTGTCCTTCATGCTTTGGCTTTAATGTGAACTCTTCAGAGAGTCTTCCCTGTCCTCCTTATGTCTAACAGAACCCCACCCTCATGATTCTCCATTGCATTGTTATATTCGTTGCTTTCACCACATTAATTATAACTTGTAATTATATATTGCGATGGTATTCAAATGTTTAACCTAGTCGGTGTGTACCAGTAGGATATCAGCCCTGATTAAATGTTTACTTATTGGTTTATTTGTTGATTGTGCACCTCTCCTAGATTAAAAGCACCCCGAAGGTGGGAACTGTGTCTACTGTTTCCACCACCAGTGCCTATAAATAGACAGTGTTCAGTAAATCCGGGTTGAATGAATAAATAAATGAATGGGTAAATGGGATAATAGCATTGTAGATCTTCTAGGGGATCATATGGCTCAAATGAGTTGGTTTAAGTGAAAGCCTTCATGGACCATTAAGCTCACATACAGCGTCTTTTGCTGTCACAGGTTTCCTCTGGGGCAGTCCCTTAGGGGCAGAAGGCCTCTGGCTCTCTTTCAACCAGAACAGTTTTATCCTTGCCTCCTGCCAGGCACATCGCAACCCAGAAAAGTACACAAAACACAGATGATGTTCTCTGGGTGTCTATGCTATGACCAGGCAGGCTGGGAGATGGCTGTGTCCCTTCAATTCTGTGTTTTCATTGTATTTACCCATAGACACTCACTGGAGCTGGAGCTGTCCCATGCTGCTCTGGACTTACAAAACACTCGAAAAGGAAAAGGAGATCATTCTGTGTTGGTATTTACAAAGTCCTAAAGTTCATATCCAAACAAAATAATCCATAAATACCTTTTCTAACTCCTTCTTCCACTCGATGCATTTCTAAGCGGTTACTTTTTTCATATTAATGATAATACAAATTGCAAGTTACTGGACATTTCCTGCATGTCAGGCCCCAGGTCAAGGGTCATCTTTTACCAACTTCCTTCAAAAACCTTTTGGTGGGTACTATCTTTATCCATCTTTTAAATGAGGAAACTCAGGCTTAGAAAATTCAATCCACTTGATCGTAACTATACAACCAGTGGATATTGGAGCTGAGACTTGAGCCTCTCTACATCTAAATCAAAGCCTGCCCTTGGATTTGGGGGAGGCTGGAGGTGGAGTGTGGCACTGGGAAAAATGGTGAGAGAAGAGACAAAAGCAGAGGATGGAAGGATAGGAGCGGTCCTCTGGTGATCCCAATTCACCAAATCCTCATAATGGTGGTCCTTGGTGAGGCTTTTGAAGGTTTGTGTGCTGAAACAGTGATTATTTGCCAGAAAAAAAGTTCTAGCTTTAAGCCCAGAGTAAGATCTGTGAATTATTTCTGCACAACTGGTTTGCAAAATGAGAAAGACAAAAACATCAGTTCAAATTGCCTTGGATACCTTTTTAAAAGACATATTATTATACGACATTAAGTATTTGAGGTCATTATTTAAGATTCTTTATATTTATATAAAGAATATTTAAATATTTAAATATATAAAGAATATTTAAAATATTTATTTGCATAGATTAAATGCGTGACACTTGAGAGTTGTAGATTTTACGGGCTGTAGGTTTACTTCATAAACCTTTGTAAAATCCTTACACGTAGGACCTTTAAGTCCACGTAATTGGGCTCGGAGAAAGATTTGTCACTTCAAGATTGTTATGGAAGCTGACTGTTGTTGAAGATTTAGTTTAACAATTCATTTGGGCTAAATCTGAGTTGCTGGTTCTTTGGTCAAGAATAGTAAGAACCCCATTAGGTTCATATTAATACTATTACTACAGAGAAAGAGAATTCATTCTCAGATGTGGTTTCTGGTAATATTTTGTGGTGAAAAGCAAAGCTTTCTGCAGAGAACTCCAGGAGATTGAAAAACCACTTGCCTGTTTTTCTCTTAGGGAGGTGATTATATTCTTGCTAAAATCCTACTGTGTATGGCTGGTGTTTATAAGCTATAGAGAATCTTCTCAACTGAGTAGAATTTCTTAAACTGAGTAGCACACCCTTTAAAAAAGGGAGACTTCTTCAAGATGCATTTAGAGCTCTTCTCTCAGTAGTGATGAATGAACTCAAAGAAAAATGAACATTTGTGAAAGGGGCAGCCTTGCAAAAATAAACAGAAAATACCTAATCCTGCAATTTCCTAGTAACAGTTAAAAATCAATCCTATGAGTTCTGCTAACAGGCATCCCTCCAGAGTTCTGTTTTGTACAACTTCTGAAAAGAGCTGAACAGATGGAAATCTTTCTCTTTAAAACCATTTTTTGAGAATCTGCCCTCACAGAGTTCCTGAGTAAACAGCAGGAGAACGAGCTACAGCCTCAACCATATCTTGAGGGCAGAGTCACATCTCCTGCGATGATCCTGATAATCCCATCTCCAAGAAAAGGCCGGGAAACCAACTCTTGGACTTTGACATCCCGCTGCCGCTTTTGTTATCAACTGACAGCCATCAATATTTTTTTTCTCTTTGTCCCCTTAAAACCAGCGAGCCCCTTGGCCTCAGGGCTGGCACCCCCTTCTGTTTCTTTCGGATGCCACGCTGTCTCCCTGCTCTCTTTTCTCCCTCTCTTTCCCTTCTTGATCTCACTCTCATTCTCTCCCACCTTCTAAGTAGACAAAATAAACTTTTTAACTTTTATATATCCTAATATCTGCGTGAGAAATCTTTCTCTCCTCAAGCTGTGAGCACCTAGTGAACTTTCCACACTAACAGTTTGGTTGCTCACAAATGAACGGCATCCGAAACAGACCAAGGGGACGCGTGGTACCCGGTCAAGGTGTGCTTGGTATGTAGGGAGCCTTGCTGGGGTGGCTGGAGGTGATGGCAGTCATGCTATCTCTTTATTTATTTATTTTTGCTACCAGATTAAAATATTTATTATAAAATTATAGTAATATAAAAGTCCAGTGTGATACTGGTACAAGATGAATAAACCAATAAAAGAGAATATAGAGTCCAGAAATAGATTCACACATACATGGTAAGGGAAAAGATGGCCTTTCAATAAATGATTCTGGAGGAATTGGATATTCTTTTTTTTTCTAGAGATAAGGTCTCGCTTTCCTGGGCTCAAGTGCCTCAGCCTCCTGAGTAGCTACAGGTGTGCACAACCATGCTTGGATAATTTTTAAATTTTTAGTTTGTAGAGATGAGGTCTCACTATATGTTGCACAGGTTGGTCTCGAACTCCTGGGCTCAAGTGATCCTGCTACCTCAACCTCCCCCCAAAGTGCTGGGATTACACTCATGAGCCATCATGCCCAGCCTGGGTATTCTTCTTTTTTAAAATTTTTTTAAATTGAAAAATAATAATTGCACATATTTGTGGGAGCCATCGGGTCTTGATATGGTGTAGGTGTGTCTTTGGGTGGTGGACAAAAGGCTGGGCTGGCAGGTGCTTGGACTGAAAGTGCCAAGTTCGCAGGTGTCACAGAGTAAACCAGTCTGAGAAACATAGTTCTCACATTCCTCTTCTCCTTCCCTTCCCCCGTCCTTCCTCTGCCCCTCTCCCTGTAGGAGTGTGGGCAGGCGATTAAATGGAAAATTGACAGGGGTAGGTATGCTGAACATTGCAGTATGCCCCCAGAAAGTCTGTATGTTTGTGTAGTACTCAATAAATCTGGGAAATAATACTCTGTTTTACAAAATCTATGCATGTAACTACACGTATATGACTGATTTCTGTCAGAATTGGGTGATAATTTTTTGTTTTTGAGACAGGGTCTTGCTCTGTAGCCCAGTCTGGCATGCAGTGGGACAATCACAGCTCACTGCAGCCTCGAACTCCCAGGCTCAAGCGATCCTCCTGCCTTGGCCTCCCAAAGTGCTGGGATTTCAGGCTTGGGCCACTGTGCCTGACTGGGTTCAGTTTTTAAACAGAACCTTTGGCCCTGTAGAGGTTTAGTAAAAGGTCACTGGTCTGTCTGAGACCCACAAAAAGGGTAGTGAGCAAAAGCAAGGGCAGGAGGGCATAGCTCAGACTCTGCCTCACCCCTCCCTCTATTCAAAGAACATAGCACTGGGGTTCACATACTTATTTGCCACCCCCCCAGCATCTCCTTTCCAGAATTCAGGGAACTCAGCAAACAAGCACCCCAGGGCCTGGATCCATTGCTCAGACTCTTCTAAATGGAAATATGCAGGAAGAGGCATGAGAAGGTTTTGGTTCCCCTAAAATAGGCAGGAGGAACTGGGAGAATGAGTCATTTGCCCAGTGCCTGGAAAGTCACCGACCAGCAAGGGATCTTCTCTAGGTATTTCCCTGACAGTGGGTCCCTTCCTGGACAGCCTTTGCTTGGTTTCCCTTCAGCACGGAAACAGGTGTGTAGAGGCCTCCTCTGGGGCAGGCTCCATGCCAGGCACTGGGGGGAGGCTCTCAAAGAGCTATGAGGCAGACACTTAAGCAGACCACACTCCTCAGTGTGACAAGTGTTATTATCGAATACCAAGGTGCTATGGGGAGTGTGGGGTGGGGTGGGGAATCTGGCACAAGGAGAAAGTCTTCAGGCAGATAAGAGAGTAGATGGCGTTTCAGACAGAAGGAAGAGTTTGTGCAAGGGCACGGGGGCTTCGGATCTTCATATGTTTGGAGAACAGCAAAGAAGTCAGCATGATAGGAACATAAGGAGGGTGTGGGGGAGGCAGATGTGGGAAGGCCAGCAGGGAGCAGGCCTGGCAGGCCTTGGAGACTACACTTCATTTGCAGAGCTCTGAAGAGCACAGGCAGGAGCAACTAGAGCCTTCTGGCCACATCCAGGCTCAAGGAACCAGAGTTTAGCCCCCAGCATCTTGCCAGTACCTCCAGGCACAGCAGAGAGTCAATTTGTATGTGATGGCTGGAGCCTCAGCAATCATCTAGAACCATGAGGGACCTTGCAGAAGTCACATATAGGACGTTGGATCCCCAGCGACATGCCTGCACACTAGAACTGGTCTGAATTCCTCTGGACTTGTTTTCACATGAGAGAGTAACAAACATCTATCTTGTTGAATCCACTGTTATTTTGCACTTATCTCTTGTGTGCAGCTGAACCTAAACTTTACTGACACAAACTTAAATCCTCTCATTTTCTGGGGGAGGAATTTGAGACCAGGAAAGCAAAGTGACTGGATAAAGATTACCCAGCTCATTTACCTAGAAGCTGTGTCTTTCCTAGCAAAATGTGTGATGGCTTTTGCTCATTCCCAATTCAGTAGATATTTCTTCAGCCTATGCACACAGGACCTTGTAGTGCAGCAGTGCAGAGCATGAACCCAAAAGCCTGACTTCTTGGATGCCAGTCTCAGGGTTGCCACTCACTAACTGGGTGACCACGAGCAATTCCTGGCCCTGCCTCTGCCCCAGCACACTCACCTGTAGAATGGGGATAAAGCCAGCACCTACTTTTCAGGGTTATGAGACTAAATGAGTTGATATAGGCAAGTAGAAGTATGTATAGAGCACATAGCTTAGCTGCCAAGGGCTCAAACTCTGGTTCAAAGTTCAACTCTGTCACTTACTAGCTATGGGGCCATGGGCAAGTTATTTCACCCCCTTGTGCCTCCATTTCCTCACAAGTAAAACGGAGACGATATCAGTACCTACACGGCTGCTGTGTGGTGGATGAAGGCACTCAGAACGTGCCTGGCACACAGAAAGTGCCAGCAGGTGGTGGCCGTCATTATTACCCTGTGCTGACGAGCCCCCTGTGCTGAGTGAAGAAGGGGCTCACAGACAGGAGGCTGTGAAGGCAAGTGGGAAGAGGGACCAGAGAGAAAAATACGAGCATGGGATTGACATAACCGAGCAAAAGCGCTATAGCAACTGCTTCACAGACGCCGTCTCATTTGTCGACCCGACACCCCTGGGGAGGATATTATTTCCCCCATTTTTCAGTAAGGAAACTGAGCGCCTGAAAGGTGAGTGATGTGGACAAGGCCTCCCAGCTGGGAAGGGCAGCGCAAGGGTCTGAATCCAGTCGTGTGTGACCCTTCAAAGGCCATGCAACACTGACCTGCCCCGGGGAGTGGTTCACCTCTGGGGAAAACCTCTCATGCTTCATTCACTCCATTCACCTCTAAGAATGTGAAGCTCAGACGGGACAGGATAACGTGGGCATTTCCTCTCACTTGCCTTTGCGTGTGTCAGCGCTCATTGTGCTCTGAACCCATCCGTCTCCGTCAGCCACAGTGCTCACGGGCACCACTGTGGGTTACTGCCAGGCTGAGATTCTTTTGCTTTTTTATTTGCTTGCCCTGAGAAATGCAATGATGACTTCCTCTTCTATCCCCCAAAGAACTTGAAACTATAATTCTGAAAGCATGGCACAAGGAAAAACGGCCTGGATTATGGCAGCTTGGCACGACCCTTCACGCAGCTTTGATAACATTCATAACATTCCTGTTACAACCAAGGGCCAGTGTGTCCCCCATTTGAGCATGTTAGCAGGGCAGCGTGGACGGAGATGGTTCTCTAAGACGTTCAGTTCAGTTGTTCTAGAAGGAATTTTGAGCCAACCAGCAAACTCGATAACAGGAACAGAACAACAGCATCCAGGAGGACTCAATGTCTGAGAGAGAAGATGCCCTGGTGAAAGCAAGGGGCTGGGACACAAAATAATCCAGAAGGCATCTTGAATATGAAATGCAATGGGATTTTTTTTTTTTTAAATCTTTGACACCTGGCTTACACCTTTCTAAAATGGCACAATCTGTCAGACCACATCTGACGTATCCTCACAGTTCACTGTTTATATAATAGAACACAGCACACCCACCTGAGAAAACCAGGAAAGTGAGACATAACTGCTTTTCCTAGACAACAAAGCACGGATCCCATTCCTAAGCCCTGCCTCAGTTCTCCATCTCTTAAATCTAAGTGCTTTCTACAAACTGCCTGATAAGGTGCCCAGAACCCACTTGGACACCAGGGACAGTGTCACTGTCTTCCCGGGCTGACGCTTACTCTGCCTAACTCACAGAAAGCACGTCCAAACTGTGAAAGCTCTTGGAAAAAGGGAAGGTGTGTCCCACGGGTGAAAGAGAGCAGGGAGGACACGCTGCCGAGGAAGTGCCCATAGTAGCTGAAGCCATATCTGGAGGCTGTCCTGTCTCGCCTCGGTAGGGGCACCAGAATGCGTTTAGGTTTAAGAGGGTGCTCTGTGTCTCACTCACCGGCCAGGGACATGAAGAGCGCCACCACTGCGGAGAGCTGTCGGGACATGGCCAGTCCGAGGTCGCCGGGTCGCCCAGGAAGACGCAGCTCTCTGCTTCTCGGTCACTTGTGGCAGAGAAAGGGAAGTCACTTGGGTTATGAGAAGTAGCTGAAAAGCCCGCCCAAGTGGTCCCTGAGTGGGGAGGGAAACCACAAGTGGCCTTGGCGCCGGTGAGGGGCGGGCACGCGGGCGCGCCGGCCGCGGGGAAGGGCGTCTAGGACCATTTTCCACAAGAGGCGGGCGGGGTCGGCGGCAGCGCCAGCTTCCTCCTCTCCTAACTTAGATCTCTTTTCTCTAACTGCTTCGGTACATTTCTAGAAACCTAGAGACCCTTTTCAGCCACCATAAGACCAGTCCCCTAGTCACGAGGTGAGCAGGAGTCTTCAAACGAGTCGGGAGCACGCTGCCTCTGGCTTATTCATAAAGGGTCTGAGGAGCCCCCTGGCTCGATGCCCGACGCCCACGGCCGCCTCACCTGGGGACCTCGGAGTGTGGGAAGCAGGATGTGCATGAGCGCGGCAGTCCGGGAGACGTGGGTTTGAACCTGGCCCTGCCAAGTTGGCAGCTGTGTGACCTTGAGTAACCTCTCTGAGCCTCAGTTTCTTCTGCTGTCAATTAGTGATAGTAATGCCTCCTCCCAGGTGGTTTTTACAGAACAAAAGTTCCTGGAAAACAGAAAATACTCAATATCTTTGACAAGCAAGCTTTTTTTTTTTTTTTTTTTAAAACGTTTTATCTCCTTCCTCTGTTAATTAGACAAAACAGTGATGGTCTATTTCACTGGGCTGCGAGTCGGAGTGAGGAGTATACACTTAGGCAGTATGTTAGGATACCTGCCTGATTAATGGGTTTAGGCCTTTCAGCCTAGTCTCAAATTGTTTTCTGAAAACTAACTTTGGTTATATCTATGTTATCCTACCATGTTGCTCCAAACACTAACCTAATCAAGTAAATTTAGCAAAGCTTGTAGTGTTTCAAAATGAAATTTCTGTGGGAAAAGGTGAGGGTTAATTTGTGCCAAAGAACTTAATTTCAGCAACCACCTGCTTTCTGGTCTTTGAGTCAGTTTATTCACAGACAATAATTAATTGGACGTAATGCGCCAGGCACTCTTCTTATTCCATTTAATCCCCACAGCCACTGTATGTGGGCACTGTTGTTATTGCTGTCCCATTTTGCAGATGGGGAAACCGAGCACAGAGAGGTCAAGTGACTTGCCCAGAGTCACTTAGGTAATAAATGAAGAAGTTGGGCCATGAATCCTGTCTGGCTTGAGAGCCTAAGACTTTAAGCACTATGCCGTACTACTGCTGAAGAGGCATTCTAGACTAGAATATAATATATATTTTTAAGTTGCTTACTGCCTAGTTGAGGAGCAATATTTATTAATGTACAGTAATAGCCAGGGATCAATTGTTTGCTCTTAGAGCCACACTAGATGAAGAATGGAATAGTCAGAGATGACTTCATGGTGTTTGGACGTTGGACAGGCTTTCAAGGCCACAGAGTATCTGAATAGTTGGAGAATAGCAATACTACTACTACTAGTACTAGTAGTTCCCATATAAGGAAACCCTACTATGCACCTGACAAAGTGTAATGCATATGGTAACTCTGCAGGCAGGTTTTTATTTTATTTTTATTTATTTTTAAACAACTGATAATTTATTAAAATAGTTGACCTAAGCATCTGCAATGGTAACTTCAGCCTTGACCCCTGGGTCAATACTGATGGAAGTAATCTGTTTTACAATCTCAGAAGGACTGTACAAATCAGTGAGGTGCTTGTGGATTCTCACCTGGAACCCATTCCATCTCGTAGAAACCACCACAAGGTATTTTTCTTGCAGTGATTCTCAGTCTTGGTAGGCATCTGAACTGGTCTTTTCACTTTGAGATTCTTTTCCTTTGCACTTCTGATCAAGTCAGCACCCCCCTTCTCTGGGGATTTTATGCTGTGGCTGATTAGGGTAATTCTAATTTGGTGAATCACCTCCTCTTGTTCCATGGGTGTCCTTCTGGTTTCCTGACCTACTTGTTCCTCAGCAAGAGCAAATAGCCACAAGTCAGGAGCAGGAGTGGCGGACTGCAGCTCCGTAGCACCTGCGACCTCGACTTCCTCAAAAAGCTAAGGCAGATTTTTTTTTTTTTTTTTGAGACAGAGTCTCACTGAGTTGCTCAGACTGGAGTGCAGTGGCATCATCATAGCTCACAGCAACCTCAAACGCCTGGGCTCAAGTCATCCTCCCGCCTGAGCATCCTGAGTAGCTGGGACTACAGTTATGTGCCACCATGCCTGGCAAATGAGGTAGATTTTTAAAAAAAATCCCCACTTTGCTGATGTGGAAATCAAACCACCCAACATCACGCAACAGGCTAAAATCTGCATTGTGGTCTGTGTGGCCCTGAAGCCTTTATGCTTTTCGTTGGCCCACAAGGAGCAAACCTCAAGAGCAGTGACATGCTTGACTGGAGGTTACTGGGAAGCAGTGGGAATATGGTTGAAAGGTCCAGGTAGTGTCAAGTTGGAGAGGCTGAAAAAGACAGACAGACGAGTCCAGTCTCGACTTAGGAGCACACAGGGGTTCTGAAGGCCTTGAACGAGGAAGTTGCATATGGAAGCGGGTAGTTAGCCTGACATTGGTAAGGGCCCGGTGGCTTTGGGAGGAGAAGGCCCATCCACCGATTTAGCCAGCATTTACTGGGGGATGTCTGGAACCAGTCTCCTGAGCAGGGGCTTAGAGGATCAGAGTCTTGAGCCTGTTTCTGTGGACTCCTGCCTTTGACTAAAGGATAGATGCCACAGCCAGGAGTTTCAGAAGCAGCTGGAGTCAGGTTACTGAACTTACACACTGCCCATTGGCCAGCAAAACATTTGCTAGGTTCCTGGGGCCTATGAAGGCATCTTTCAGATCCTGAAAACTCTGCTCCTTTTTATGAGAGACTAATATCAACATTTTAGTATTGGTAAGCCATAGAATCCTTAGCTGATCTACATGTCTCTAAGAAGTTCAGGGATAGGAATCACAGTATGTGGTGGCTGACAGCCTCTTTTATGAGGAGCTAAATTAATTGAACTCAATAACAACTCAGCATGGATCTTTATTTTTAGAAGTTATTTCATAGACAGCACATTAAAGTGTAGCCTGTGAATTATTTTGAGATGATTTTTTGGGGGACAGTGACATATACAGGGGGAGTTCCCTGCCAGTACCTAATAGTAGCAAAGGTGATTTACTGACAAAGATGTAAGCCCAGTATCTATGTTCTCTGCTTTTCTTCCCCATTTTTATAGTTTCTGTTAAAAGGTAAACTGAGGCACAATCAAATTTTTAAAGAATTTATTTGACCAAACAGGCAGCTTCAAACTGGAAGTAGTTCAGGGGCTCTGCCAAGGGGACTACAAGGGAAAGGTTTTTATGGGAGAACATGGAAATAAAGCAAAGAAAATATTTGATTGGTTACAATTATACAGTTGCCTTATTTGGTCTATTCTGTTGAAAAGTTCTGAGTTTTATAACCCTAAGTTAGTTGGCAGCTTCTGATTAGTCTTAAATTTCATTCTTTTCTAATACAGGTATTTACCAGGAATACCCCAAGTTAAGTTCCATGTATGTTTGCAAACCAAGCAAGGTTAAGGTCACTTATAAGGCCTAACCGGCTTTGTCTGCTCCAGGATTCTTCAGGCCTGGTCTCCATTTTAATTTAACGCAAAGAAAATCATAAAATAATTGTTGTTAAACATGACAGATGGATATACAACAAAAACACTACAGAATGGAGTAAAGTCAAGAGTAAAATTTCTGCTCCCTCCCTTTTGCTCCCTGCACCCCCTGCCCCCAGCCTTTTGTCCCACTCAGCAGTTAACCATTGCTAATTTTTTTATGTATCTTTCCAGAAATTCTATCTATTCATAGACATATGTAGGATTTATATTTCTCTTGGTTAAATATGATTGTTTTGCAATGTATTTTTATGTAATATATTTTCTTTATCAATGGATTCTTCTGTATTAACATATGTATCTCTAGTGTCTAATATTTTATTTTTAAATTTACTTATCATAAAATTCACTCTTTGTGGTGTACAGTTCTGTGAGTTTAGACAAATACAGAGTCTGTATCTACCAACACAATCACGATACAAAATAGTTTCATCACTCCCAAAATTCCATGTGCCTACATCCCTAGGAAACAACACCTTGCCTATGCGTTTCCAGCCTGCTCATGCTCCTCCCTTCTTAACTGCCTACCCAGTGTATTTCGGATTTGTTTAACCAGCCCCAACAATCACATAGCCAATTCCTTGTAACAAATTTTCCCTGTAATAAATATATACATCTGTATTCTACTGGTTCTGCTTGTCTGGTTGAACCTTGACTGATAGAATATTCTATTTTATAGATATGCCAAAATTTATCGATTTACCTGATGATGGACATTTGGGTTGTTTCAGTTTTTTGCTATTATGTATAAAACTATGATGAACATTCAAGGACAAAACTTTGTATGGGCACAGGCTTTTATTTGCATTGGGTAAATACATACGAGTGGCTGGATCATACGTTTGATGTACACTTAATTTTTGAAGAGGCTGCCAAACTATTTTCCAAAGTGGTTGTACAATTTTACTTCCAATTAGCAGGGTATGAGAATTCCAATTGTTCCACATCCTCACCAATACTTTATATTATCAGTTTTTTAAATTCTAGACATTCTTATCAGTGTATACTGGTCTCTCATTGTGATTTTAATTTAAATTTTCCTGTCAACCAATGATGTTGAGCACTTTTACGTATGAATTTTGCCATCTGTATATCTTCTTTAGTGAAGTATCCAGTGAAATGTTTTGCCCATTAAAAATTGAGATATAATTCACATAAAAGAAAATTTACCCATGTTAATGGGTCTATTCAGTGTTTTCTTTTTAAACTGTATTCACAAAGTTGTGAAATGGCATATCCACAACTATCTCATTCCAGAACATTTTATTACCTCCAGAAAGAAAT